GGGGACGTCTAGCACCGCGCAGCTGTGAGCAGTAAACATCGCGCCCTTAAAAAATGGAGATGAAAAGCTCGCCGCGCACTTCGCGAGTAACTGAAAACAACCCGGAGGAGAGTGCTGTGTTGCACTTCTTTGATCGCAAGAAAGAAAAGGTGCACCATTTAGGCTCGTGGCTAGGCCGAAGATTTTAAGCCATTAAAAAACCTACATCCTACGGTATTCTACCGTTTCGAATTCTGGTATTCATCCCCAGGTGGTCTCTCATGGCTCTCATGGAGTTCATATGGCACGTCTAAGAAAAATAATTCTGAAGAGGAAAAATCTACCGTCACTATGCAAGTACACACTAATCTACCAAACTATTTTTAAATTATTTCCTGGCGTGGACGTCAAGAATTCTCCTTCCAGTCGTTGAATAGCGCCATAGAAGAATATCCGCATCCTCTCCTCTGCGCTTACTTCTCGTACACCCACTCTCATTTACCATATATTGTTATTATTTAATTATTTAATGATTTGAATATTAATTGATAAGTGATTTATTTACTTATCTACCGGCGTATTACCTTATTTATTTACTTATAAACTTAATAATTTTCTTATTTACATATTTATTTCCTCTTCAGACTAGGTTCCGCTCATACTAATAACCAGTGCTATTTTCTCAGACCCTAATGATCGTCTCTCTAATATTCTGAATCTTAGAATTTTTTCTGAAAAACTGATGTGAAACCTATTATCTGCCATTATGCCTTGGACAAGTGTTACGTGTCCACGTCGGAAGAAATAGTTCCCCATTCCCATCCACTTTCCTCTTCACGTTTCGGTGGCTCAGCAATTTACAAGGATTTGTATCCAAACTTCTATCGCGCCGCAAAGCACACAGATACCATTGCTATTCAAGTCTTTCAATCTACTTTGCATCCACCCTGACCATAAATCATGCATAATGCTCTCTTTCGTCCCGTCTAAGTGTGTGAACATTTTCACAATCACATTCCGGAATATTTATTCCATAAATAAATATTCCATAATATATTTCCACCCCGGTAAATTTATTGCAGTAGTAATCTTTTTTCGGCCGTTTCTGTTAGGATATCTTTCTTTTTATATCCAAATTCTATCAGAAATTAACCGTTCTACCACGCGTGAGCTCCTATCTGCAGCCATATCCAAAGATATGACTCCCAGTTCTATGCTTCTAGTAACAGTTTCACTTTGTACTTCCAGTAGCGGGGTTCAATATCGTGTAATAGCAGCCTAAAGCACGTATGTACAAGGGTGTCAGCATGTTCGCTTCCTAACATAGTCCAGAGCGTAATTGATTTAAGTTTAAAATCTTTCCAGATTCCGATACAAGACTTTTCTTAAGACGGCTACATTTGCTGCTTGTCTAGAGACTCCAGGAATGAATTCGTAATAATCGGTTTCGATCTTCTTCCAATCGATCTATTCTATACACTCCACAGATTTTCACCTTGCATTTCATAGTCGGGAGAGCTAGCGATTTAAATATTGCGCCGTAAACCTTTGAAAGCAAATCAGTATTGTACGCACTGCGATAACAATTTCTTTGGGCGCAATTTGTCCTTTTTTTTGGGGCGCCACTACGCGACTATTCTATCTCCCGTTAATCCAAAAAGTTTGCACGTGAAATTTTTGACTCAGTCGAGCTCATCCTGCGCGTAATACAATTTTCTTTTGTTACCCAAAATAAACCTATTCTTGAAAACAAATAAATTTCGTTCTTTGAGTATTTTCTTTTAATCCCTATGTCTCATTATAACACTCGAAATTGTTTAAACTCCCATCTAAGCCCTCAATAGTTTCCGAATATAGAACTAAATCATTTGCATGTAGTAATCCGGCAATTTGCAGACTATTAATTGCCGGGGTAAATGGTCCTGCCTCTTGTACCGATGTCATGAAATAGTTTATATGCAAAATAATTAATGGCGGAGGACAACTCCTTCTTATTCCTATTGTCGATATTACTTTTTGAATTGTATTTCCGACTTGCCTCTCCTCTCTTTACTGAATACCAATGTACTGTTTTGTTTGTTTTGCAAATCTGATCCAAATGTCCGGAAAACGAAAACGTTTTAACAGAATACAATACCGCTTTATACGAATTATTTTCGAACATTTGTTATCGTTACATTTTAAACAATCAAATTTACACAAATATTCGACTCTTTTTATTGTTTCAATGATAATAATAAGTGTACTGGGTTTATTGGCCAGGTCTTCGTGTTAGTTTCTTTTACTACTCCAGAGAATGAAAGACGGAAATTTTGAGTGCCGGGCGTGAATAGCCGCATCTCGTTGTGGACGACCGTTATTCATTTTTCGTGAAAGGAGTCTCGGAAATACTACGTTTAAAAAAGAGAAATTCTATATCTAGAGGAATAGACTACCTCTCGTCACATAGAAAGCGACCTCTTTCGTTGTTCCCCGAAACTGACGAGAGTATAATGAAATACGGTTGAGTGTAACTGCGGAAAACTTGGGATAGTGCTCCAACATTGTCAGATGGAGACTATTCTCTGAAACAAAAAGCTTTGTGGATGCGGTGTAGTTAGACATAATTTAGAGCTATGTTAGTATGAAGGATGAAGAAGGCCAAATGTCCACTGGTATTGTGATTCAAGAAAATATAGTATATTTCAAATATATAATGTACTTCGAAATTTTATGATTATAATTATTAAAGTGTAATTGCGTAATTTAATTATTTAATTGTCATTGTGCAATTTAAATCGTTACCATTAATTTATCCGGATTCTTTTTCCGAAAGCAACATTAACATTCATTTTTACGAATTGAATATTTTCCGAAATAAATATTTTGAAAATATTTTTTTTCGATTTAGATACTTTCTGATTCCATTGCATCCGATTTAGTTTTATTATCTTCTATATACACATCCGATTCACAAGGACGCTCCATGGAGAAGCATTCCTATTACACGATAATTTTAATGAAAACGTACATGAATAGGGTCGTGTAATACTATTCGCCACAAAAGAAGATCTGGAAATTTATTTCCGAAGTATTCCATAGTTGATGGGACTTTTAATGTAATTTCAAGTATATTCATGCAGTTGTTTACGATAAAATGGGTTTAATCAAAAGAAACGACTGTCATACAAGTAGTGAAGTATTTACTTTGCTTAGTAAAAAAATTCTTATGCAGAAATATTCCAAAATTCAGCTCGAAAAATTAGCATTCAGAGAGCATTCCCAAGCAAATTAATGCGTCATTTTGAAAAGGCTAAAACAAAGAGCATAGAGGAAGCTTTACCTGGCTGTGTGTTTTCTTATTTTTTTTCATTTGTCGCAAAATGTTTACAGAAAGATGCAGACGAAGGGACTACAGGAGCAATATAATAACCCGGAAATCCGCCAGATAAAAACAGGAACGTACTTGTTGTTAACACTTGCTTTTGAACCCGTCGAAGATGTACTACCGGATTGATGGAATGGAAAGTGAAAAATATGCCTCGAAAAAAGTGGTTAACTCTACAAAATAGAATTAAAGCTATTGTTTTGACGTATACTCAGTATAAAGGAGAAAATCGCCATCTGGAGTTTCCACGTGCCATAGTATATAACCTCACTGTATAACTTCATATATACATTTAAATTAATATGAATAAAATTTCTGTGAACTAAATGTGTTGGGAAAACAAAATACTTTTTACTATTCTGGAAAATTATATCCAGAATTCTGCTTTCGGAAAGAACGTAAACAGGAAAAATGACTCGGGAAAACTTCCGGTTAAAAATTTAAATTCGGAAAATTGGTAGGTAATCAATTTAAATATTAATTGTGATTTAATTGATTTTTTCAAAATTCTAAAAGTTGTATTACTTCTATTTAGTTTATTCCTATCAGTTTTAAATTATCTTAAAATATTATTGAACCCATTTAACACCTTTCACTTTGTGTTCGTTGGGTTTCTCCACGTTATGATCTAAACGAAGGGCGGAGATGTTTACAGGTGTGGTGGAGTTGATTCTTAAGAAGAGACATGGCCTGAGAGAGTAGCGACTCTAAAGAATAACTGTTAACTAATAACTGTTTTTAAAGAGACTAGGTTGAATAACAAGTTATATCAATTCTTAAATCATAGTACGTAATACTATCCTGTTTTATTGATAGTAGCTGCATATATAGTTTGCATTTTCCGCGATGGGTGAGTATCGAACAAAATGATGATATGGCGAAGTAAAGGGACTCCTCTCTTTCCCCACAGAAATGGTGAACGGAGAGGAGGAGTGGGGAAAGTAAAGGATGGATAATTTATTGATAAAACTGAAATGGTGATGGGCTAAGTGAAATTGGTAGAATGTAGAAATGGATTTTATTTAATTGATTTATTTGTTTATTTTTTACGTAATGGGACATGTGTGAATGTAGTAACCTAGTTATTGGGGCACGGGGGAGAGCTGTGGGCCGTCGCGGGGTATGGGGGTTAGTAATCGATAACAAAACATCGATGTTAGCAAACGTCGATGTTAAAAATACATCGACAAAAATCCATCGATGTTTTACAATATCGATGTTTTTAGACTCGATTAGTTTCCTCTAACATTAAATTCACGAGCAATAAAATTTAATTTGACAGTGATCGTGTTCTTCAATTCCCCGAATAAAAGTATGATAAGAAGGTGCCGACCATACTCCCTCAGCGTACTTGCTGGCCTTATCTCAATGTGCATAATGAATACGAAGAGGGAATACAAATGTCATAGAGGTCATCTCTGGTCGTTATATTTTAACTTTAACAGTATTGGGAGCATAGAAATTTTGCAATTAGAAAAATAAACATTTGGAAGAGAAAAAACATGGATCAAAAACCATCGATGTTAATAAAACATCAGTATTAATACATCGATATTTAAAACGTCGATGTCTCGGGCGTCGCGGGACGAATCGAGGCCCAGTGAGGCGTGGAGTGGCGAGGCCGGTGGCGCACGGCGGGTGGCGACGGAGGGGCATGATCATCGCGGGAAATGGCGGGGAGGGGCGAGGCCTGGTGAGATATGCGGAGGATGGGAGTGAAGCGACGCGAGGAAAGGCGGACCGTCGAGTGTCGTCACCAGGCCTGTTGGGGCTTGGTGGGAAGTGGCAAAGGCTGTTGGGATATGAGGAGTACGCGAGTGAAGCGTCGGGGAGAGAGGCGGGGCATCGAGGAGCGTGTCGGGTAGTGGCGAGGCTTGGTGGGATATGACGGGGACGGGAGTGAAGCGTCGCAGGGAGTGGCGGGGCGTCGCAGGAAGTGGCGGGGCATGGCAGGGAGTGGCGAGGGAGTGACCTAGTGGTATATGA